CCCCAGCCGTAACCAGGCGACAGGAACACAAAACCCAGGACGAGGATAGGCCAAGGCAGAAACGGACGCACAGGACGTTACACGTCACCACAACAGAACGAGGGGCAACCGCAAGCGGGGCTCACCCCATAGAGCCCTGAACACACACTCCCTACCCTCACACGGAAAAGGCTGAGCATTTATTTCAAAGACTGCGTTTTCCCTCACAGGAGACAGGTTGCCCCCCGCTCACGAAACACCCCGGGATCTCCCGCCTTTCCAGGCCCCTCACAGAGCTGCGGCGGGAGAGCCCGCCTCACCCGCTCGTCTCCTTCATGGCGCACACACAACTCGAGGCACGCGCCACGACAACGGCCTCACAACTCGCGACACTCCCAGCCACCGCGACTACCACCCCGTCCTTCCCGACGGCCACCGCAGCGCTCGGCCAATGGGGCGAAGGAGCGCACCCGTGGGGGTGGGCTGGCCACACCTTTCGCCGGCCCGGCCGCATGTTGCCCCCTAGCGGTTGCTGAAAGCCTGCGGCTGAGGCCTTGAACCACCCACCTGTCCACACACCCGCGTCCCCTCCTTCTCCTCACGGGGACCGCGGGGACGCGACCGGTTACGAAAGGGCCTGAGGCGTACCCTGTTGCCCAGCCCGGGAGCTACACAAGCCGCTCTGCTCCTCGCAGGAAGGGAGGAGATGGGCAGGTGAGGCAGGGACGCAACGGTGGCTGCGGCTGAGCGGGCGGCGGAGCATGAAAGAGGGGGCGATCACCCCTGAGGAGAGGCTGTGCGACGACGGGATGGCTGCCTTCCGCTCCACGCCCGGGAGAGGGGGTTGTCTGCCCTTCAGGATGTCGAGAAGATGCGCCTCGACATGTCTGTCGCCCACTTGGAAGCTGGGGGAAAACTCTCCTCGGCCGGCGGCCGCTGCCCCGGCGGAGCTTTGCGAGGGGAGAGAGGCGCTGACAGATTCCCCCGCAGCGCGGGGAGAGCCGAGCTGCCCACGGTGGGTGGGTGAAAGGAGGACTCACTGACACATCTTTCCCTCCAAAAGCTCAGGGACGAACATCCGTTCATATGGACACCGTTGCAGAGAGAGGAGTGGTAAAAAGGCAGAAATCACTAGTGTGGTATTGATTTCTTCTCATCCAGTATGTGTTGAAGCATCGTTTGACTTAAGCTGGTGTCAGGAGGATTTATCACACGCTGTCAATGACAGCAGAGAATTTTGAGTACTCACTTGTTGCCATATATCATTTTGGGCCAACATAGTCTATTACAAGCTAGATACTAAAGCAACTAGAATACCTCAAGACTATTCTGCACCGTGATATTTGGATTACTATTTCCCACTCACATTCAAGCCTGCAAAGAGTTAAAAGTAAAACCATAATGTTTTTGTGAAGTTGAATAAATCATTGGAAAAAAAGTTGCTTCCTGACTACCTTGATGCCTTGCTGTATCGGACTCTTTGAGATTAGCACATGCATCGTCTCTGTACTTTTCTGGGTTGTCTGCAGTGCCTTTGTTGAAGTAAAATATATTTTTTTCTTGCAAGATACTTTGAAGTATCTTAAAACTTAACATTTGTTCTGAAGTTTCAACAAAGTAACAAAACCAATGCTTGGTGTTCAGACATGAAGGTACTTCTAGCAGAGTTGCTTTATCTGCCCTACTGAAACAAATTTATGCTATGGAGAGTTAAAAATTACTTTATTTATTTATTGAATATGTGCATTAACATTGCACTAACATTTCAAAGTCTTTGAAAATCAGATGTTTCTGCAGGGAGTTGTACTGGTAAAGCAACAAAAAAAACCCAAAAAACAAACCCAAACAAAAAAAAAACCCAGACAACCAAAAAAACCACACAAACCCCCAAAAGTCCACATGTTTTCTATCAAATTTCTGGAGAGTTTTTTTAAACCTGTAGTCATGCCCTTTTTATTCTTAGAAGTTTATAATGTTTTTCTTTAAAAATTTATGTTCATCACAACACTACTGTGGTCCTAGAATCAGGAAAACTATTGTGTGGATACTGCCTCCTGTTCTTGTCTCTCGGTTTGCTACCATCTATTTTGTGTGAGGAAGACACCTGCCTTTATTTTTTCCAGGCTTAGATGGCTGATTAGTCAGCTTTATGTGTTCTTTTTATCTGTTTCTGCTGCATGCAGATTAAAGAAGAGTGAAAATTTAAACAGGTTTTTTAAGGCAGTTTTGGAGGAACTTTAGGTATATGCATGAAAAGTTATGTACCAGCTACTGCACCTGAACCTTTCTGCTTCAATATACAAAATTAGACTGCAGCAGTGAAAACTGCTACAGAGAAAAATCACCACAGACCAGAGAAAAGTTTATCAGAAAAATATTTTATTCAGACTTTGTATCTTTCTTACAAATGAGGAGGTTCTTATCTGTGTAATGTACCATATTTCACTAGAGAAAGATTTTTGTCAGCAATAATTTGTATATATACATTTAAGCCCTGATGAATATCAGCTAAAAATAACATGAAATCAGATTCTGGAAAGCTGCATTTTGTAATAAATGTTCTCAAAATTTACTAATTTATCACATTATGTGGGAAGATACATGGTAGGAGATAACAGCAGAAGGTAGGGTTACTGAAGACAGACTTCAGATGGATGGATTTAAACAAGTGGAGGTTGAAGGTTTTTAAGCTATTTGCTGGTTTTGTTTGTTTTCCTTTATCATTGAATTTAATCAATTTACTTAAGGGACATAATCCTATGAACTGTTGGTTACCTAACAAGATACTCAGAAATGTAAATGCTTAAAACATTCATATTTTAAGACTGTTCTAACTGTTGTTGCTGAAACACTAAGCTTGCCTCAGGGGGCATGACTTCAGGACTGCGTTGTTTACACTGCTCTTCATCTTTCCAGGCTGGCTGGCGATGGCTCCTCATACTGACAGCTATCATGGATTCTTAACTTAATAGCAGTCACTTGGTAGGACTTCAGCTTGCCACAGCACATTGAGCTAGCAAAACAGTACCTCTGCTCAGCTTTCCCAGGGGAGTCTTGAATGCTTGTGCCCTTAATGTGAAATTAGTTGCAGCTCTTGACCTGGTCAGCAACAGCAAAAGGCTCTATGTAATCTTGCACTGGCTTGTAAGGCAGGTGCAATGTCATCAGGAGATAGACGGGTCACTCCCTTGTTTCACTTCAAATTGAAGCTAAGATTAATTATTGTGTTACCAGCTTCTAAAACAGGTTAGTTAATGGGAGCTAACTGTGAGCTCACTGAAGCAGCACTAATCTTGCTGCTCTCAAGGAAGTGTCTTTCTTTGATCAGCTCATTCTCTCTCAGCATGCTAAAACCCAGCCACAGGATATGAGTGCTTAGTTTACAATCATGTTAATTTTGCTTTAGGTTTGTCTTTAGCTGTTGGAGATTAATGAATCAAAATGTTGTTTAAATTTACAACCAGTTCTCTTCTAATCAGTTGGCAGTATTATTTCTAGCTGTTTTCTACTTTGATTACCTGAGCCAATCATCTAAAGAACTCGGCTATTCTGCCATGTGAGAGTGGGGTACAGCCTAAAAAGTCTAGGAATTAGCAGGATCATAGTAGAAAGCATTGAGGATTTTTTTTTCTCTTTTCCAACTATTTCCTATGCTGTGTATATGTTGCCACCATGTTCAAATCCAGAGCTGCTGTCTGCCTTTCCAGTTCACTCATTTTTGCCCATACAACTATCTGTTCTGACCTTAAAAGAGCAGCCTCCTTTGATTTCACCAGCATGCAGCAGACATAGCAACAGTAAGTTTGGGATATTTCTGTGGAAGTGCAGACAGGAATTTCGATGCTTGACAGTCAAACTCAAGCAAAGGGGCTGCCTAGCAAGCTCTATGTATACTAACACTTATATAAGCAGCTGGCACATGGAATCATGAAGGATTCTTCAGTTTCTTGTCAATTCACTGCAAGGAGAAAACTAAGGTGGTGGGTTTCAGTGTGCTTCTGGAGTGTTTGCATCTCCTATAGACAACCTAGATGGTTTGCTTCTGTAAAGGTTTGAAGTCTGGTACCCTTCAAAGGTATTATGTACGTAAGATTCTTTGCTGTGGTAGTTTGCCTTTAAGATGTTTTCTTTTGGAGAGGAAAGTAGAGTAGGAAGTGCCCTTGTTCTAGAGAAATTTTCTTAAATTACAGGAACAGTCATCTCTGCTAGCTAAAACCTGAAGAAGGAAAAAAGTCTTACATGGAAGATACTGCCCAAAGTTAATGGGATATGCCTGTCGTCTTGTTGTTGGTTTTGGGGTTGGTTTGTTTGGTTTTGGATTTTTTGTTTTGGTTGTGGTGGTGGTTTTTTTTCTTTCTTTCTTTTTTTTTTTTCTCCTTACTGCACTACCTTCATCTTACAGGAAATGTTTATTTTATAGAAGTGCTGAAGAGGTGTAACATGTTAATGTTTCAGAAGTATTTTCTCTGACCTGAATGGAAGTTTCTACAGATAATTGTGCAGTATCTTTGTTTATGACTAGCTTTATACAGAGCGCAGAAACATTTCTCTTTTTCTTGGTAGAGGAAGAGAACAAACCTGTCTGATCTTTGCACTCTTCTAGCTTTTATTTTGGCTGGGGATCAGGACCCAGGTCCTTGGACAGCTGATGTTGCGTAGCACTGGTATCTGTTCTAGTTCCATTATAGTTTGAATGTGGCTGTGAGACTGTTTTTGGGCACTAAAGCCTGATGCTAATACCTCTGAAGCACTACCTCTTATCATGTCGAGGAGTTGTCTTTGTCATGAATTCATTAGTTTCATGCAGAGATCGTATATAATTCTGATTGCTGCTTGCAGGGAAACTTTAAAGAGAGGAATGGATACCGCTAATTACTGAAACAACTAAATTCTGTGTGAGAATTGGGAGAAATTTTCATATCCATTAACCTTGTAGTAAGACCTTGCTGAAGTTTTGTTAGTTTGGGGTTTGTTTTTTTTTTTTTTTTTAAATGTGATAGCATTATGTTCGACTTCATGTGGAAACTTAGCATCTGTTCTGTTTTAAGAAAAAAAGAAAGTCAATTTGTTTGTAAACTTGAGCCTATAGCAGGGAGTTCTTACCTGGTCAGCTCCATCTAGCTGGTTTCCCCTGCTTGAGGAACCAGAGGTTCACCTCTATGGCTGGAGAAAGCTGACAAAGCTCTAGGGAGGCTGTGTAAGCATGGGGTTTTTTTAAGCAGTTCTTGATATGGCCCACTGTTTGAAGGGAAACAAATACTAATGTAAACCACATAACAAATAATTCTGCTTTAATGTAAAAAAGTAAATCATATTGATCCTTTTAATAACTGTTCCCTTGACAGCAATGAGGATGGGCAGTGCTTGCAAATGTGTATAGTCTGTCTGGGTGAAGTTGTGCTCTTGTGGAGTCCCTGTGTCTCATGAAGTTTATAAAGGAAAATGCTGTTTGTTCTGCTGCTGTTTGCTCACAGTATCTATTTTTCCATAGTGTGTGTATTCACATCTTCTTTA